GGGTATTGTATAGCTTTGCCCAGAACGGAGGCGAAGATGCCTCCTGCTAATCACGGGCCTGGAATGGGACTGAAAAAAAAAAAAAAAAACGTGAGAATGGAATGGGAAGGGGAATGGGAAGGGGATACGCAAGGGGTAATTACCACCTACCCCAGTTCTCTCAAATAGAGCCCAAGGTCATTATAGCTGAATTTCGGGTGACTCTCAGGGCATCCTCTCAGAAGACCTGCAAAATTGCAGTGTTGCAAAATCAGCAGCCAGATTGAGCCCCTGTAAAAGGAGGAATCGATCTGGCAGCTCATTTTGCTATTCTGTGAGTTTGAGGGCCTTGTGTGAGTGTACTCTCGGTCGATACGACAGACACCCATCACGACTTGGCAGTTTTCCTTTTGGCTGGGTCGTCGTTGGGGGTACAGGGCTTCACTCGACTACAGCCTACGGTCCTTGCCGCTGTGTTTATAGACCCAAAAAATGCTCTAAATACACAGCAATAAGAACTATTCGGGGGAAGATGGAAAATGGACGAGGAGGGAAAAATAAGAGGGAGAATAGATTCTCACGAAGGGCGTCAGTAATGGCTACCGTGTGGCGGCATTAATAGCTGCTCTGTGTGTGTGTGTGTGTGTGTGTGTGTGTGTGTGTGTGTGTGTTTTTAAATCGGCCACCTGTTGACTTATCTGTGTCATTCCTTGAATGCACAGGGGCTGCACTTCTTAATATTAGATCTTTCTCATGTATGTGTGTGCCCAATGCATGGGCGAATGTCCCTCAGGACATTCGTTAGATTGGAACAATACAGAGAAGATTGCATGGCCCATGCACAAGGATGACAGTGTGTGTGTGTGTGTGTGTGTGTGTGTGTGTGTGTGTGTGTGTGTTTATATCGGCCACCTGTGGACTTATCTGTGTCATTCCTTGAATGCACAGGGGCTGCACTACTTAATATTAGATCCTTCTCAAACTGCCATCAAAATGGACATCTTTTATTTTTTGAACGAAATTGGAACCGAGTTTTTTGGCCGAAAACTCGTCAAAATTTGTTGTTCCTGAGGGTCCGGCGTTTGTAACCCTCAGGAACAACAAATTTTGATGAGTTTTCGGCATACTTGCAAGCGTATGGACCGGACGAGCGTCCGGTCCGGTCCGGCTCGTCGGGTTCGGCACCCTCCCCCCTGACCTGACAGAGCCAGACCGGACCGGACGGGACTGGACGGGGTGTGGTCCGGTGCCCTTCCGTCCGGTGCGAATCGGTCCGGGACTGGAGCGGTGACTTCCCCGCACCGTCCGGGTTGGTAGGGACCCTTTTTTTTTTTTTTTTTTTTTTTTTTAGTTTCTGCAGGGTAGGGGCCACTGTTGGGGGGGAGTGCGCACCTCTGGGAAGTCCGGAGTTGCGAACTATTTGCGCATGTGGAAGGGTCGGAAGACTCCGAACTTCCGAAGTACACTGTTGTGTGTGTGTGTGTGTGTGTGTGTGTGTGTGTGTGTGTGTGTGTGTGTGTGTGAGAGAGAGAGAGAGAGAGAGAGAGAGAGAGAGAGA